CCACACACCACAGGACCCTCCACGTCCCTGGCACCACACACCACAGTACCCTCCACGTCCCTGGCACCACACACCACAGGACCCTTCACGTCCCTGGCACCACACACCACAGTACCTTCCACGTCCCTGGCACCACACACCACAGTACCCTCCACGTCCCTGGCACCACACACCACAGTACCCTCCACGTCCCTGGCACCACACACCACAGGACCCTTCACGTCCCTGGCACCACACACCACAGGACCTTCCACGTCCCTGGCATCACACACCACAGGACCTCCCACGTCTCCCGCCTCGCTATATGAAACACTAAACTTGTTCCGAAGAAATCATGCATTCACATTTCCCGCGTCGGGCAGCGAGGCGGTTCATCATGTGACGCCGACGTGTCGCTGCATTTTTTAGGGAGATCGTGAGTCGCAGGTTACAGCCTAGCGGTCGCACGTCGCCAGAATTAACCTGGACTAATCGTTTGAGAAGGCAGGGCGCCGCGGGGACACGTCGAGGTCAACAGCAATAACAGGTGACGGGAAGGAAGGAAGGAATTATCAAGGGGAAAGCGCCAAGCCATTATGGCTATACAGCACTGCGAAGGGGTCAGGATAAGGATCTGGGATGGGACGGGGGGAAGGAATGGTGCCCAACCACTAGGACGGTCGGGGATTGAACGCCGACATGCATGGTGCGAGACCGTCGCTCTACCGTCCAGCCCAAGTGGTTGGCAGGTGGCGGGAAAGAGAGCTACAGGCGCTCTAGTAAAGTTACGTCACTAAATGAGTTGTAATATTAATCAGTGCTTCCTTTGGTATTTGTATTATTGTTTACCCGTTTTACGTTTGTGATTATTGTTAATTAAGATGTTATATCCTGTTTTGTAGTCTGTTGTAGGGCTCCTCCCTACGACTTCCAAGTGTTTGGGTACCATTCCTTCTCCCCGTCCCATCCCAAATCCTTATCCTGATCCCTTCCCAGTGCTATATAGTCGCAATAGCTTGGTGCTTTCCCCCTGATGATTCCCTTCCTCCCTACGACAGGGAGGAGATCCACTCAAGGGAATGGATTGAGGACGACTACATAATTAGTGTTATTATCTACTCTCTATCCATGGTTAGGTTAGGTTAGGTTAAGGTTACTTTAGGTTAAGGTTTTGTTAAGTTAGGGACGGAAGGGAACTATCAGGAGAAAGCGCCAAGCCATTACGACTATATAGCACTTGGAAGGTATCAAGGATAATGATTTGGGATGGGACGGGTTGGTTAGGTTAGGCTTCATTACGAATCGAGCTATTAGCTCTTGGACCCCGCCTTCCTATCCAATATATTTTTTCTTTATTATATCTACTACATACATACTTCTCTCTAGTACATGCACACACACACATCCTCAAGAAGCAGCTCGTAGCAGCTGTCTAACTCTCAGGTACCTATTTACTGCTAGGTGAACAGACGCATCAGGGTAAAAGAAACTGTCCATTTGTTTTCGCCTCCGACGGGAATCGAACCCTGGCCATTAGGACTAAGACCCCCAAGCACTGACCACTCAGCCGCGAGGCCCCCGGTGTGTACTCACCTAGTTGTACTTGCTGGTGTCGAGCTTTGTTCCCTCCTCTCGACTGTCAATCAACTGGTGTGTGTGTGTACTCACCTGTTTGTACTCGCCTGTTTGTACTCACCTATTTGTGCTTGCAGGATCGAGCATTGACTCTTGAATCCTGCCTTTCCAGCTATCGGTTGTTTACAGCAATGACTCCTGTCCCATTTCCCTATCATACCTAGTTTTAAAAGTATGAATAGAGTTTGCTTCCACAACCTGTTCCCCAAGTGCATTCCATTTTTCCATTACTCTCACGCTAAAAGAAAACTTCCTAACATCTCTGTGACTCATCTGAGTTTCCAGCTTCCACCCATGTCCCCTCGTTCTGTTATTATTACGTGTGAACATTTCATCTATTTCCACTTTGTCAAGCCACTTTGTCTTTGTGTGTGTGTGTGTGTGTGTGTGTGTGTGTGTGTGTGTGTGTGTGTGTGTGTGTGGGTGGGTGTGAGACCTTACCCTAAATGGTCACTGGGCTACATTTTCTTTCCACCACATTTTTCCATGTGGTTCTCTTGCTCTCTATTGACGCAACTTCTTTCTCTTCGTTCTATTTTTCCTTTGGTGATGTTTGCGTGCGCGTGTGTTTACTATTTTACTATTTGTGCCTGCAGAATCGAGGTGTTTAGCTCTTGGACCCCGCTTTTCTAGCCGTTGGTTGTCTAATGCTATGACTCCTGGCCTATTTCTCTATCATTTCTGTTTTTAAGGTTATGAATGGAGTTAGCCTCTACTATCTGCTCCTTTAGGTCATACCATTTACTCTCACCCTCCCTGTGTGCCTCCCCCAGGTGTCTGGACTATCAACACCCTCCCTGTGTGCCTCCCCCAGGTGTCTGGACTATCAACACCCTCCCTGTGTGCCTCCCCCAGGTGTCTGGACTATCAACACCCTCCCTGTGTGCCTCCCCCAGGTGTCCGGACTATCAACACCCTCCCTGTGTGCCTCCCCCAGGTGTCCGGACTATCAACACCCTCCCTGTGTGCCTCCCCCAGGTGTCTGGACTATCAACACCCTCCCTGTGTGCCTCCCCCAGGTGTCCGGACTATCAACACCCTCCCTGTGTGCCTTCCGCAGGTGTCCGGACTATCAACACCCTCCCTGTGTGCCTTCCGCAGGTGTCCGGACTATCAAAACACCCGCGGGATGAGGAAGGGGGATGAGAGCGTCCCCGACCTAGGAGGCAGAGCAGCGTCGCCAAGCTGGTGACAAAGACCCGGTTCCCAGCTGAGGTCACTGATAAACACCTCCTGTGAAGAACTCACTATAAAAGTAATTTAAGTATTTTCACTACAGTTACTCTGGAGTCCCGTGTCTCGACTACCGCTGCCCCTTGTTGCGCTCGCCTCTGTAACGAAGGAAGATTGGAGTCACAGCTTCAGCTTATTGTCTAAGATTCTAAGATAACAGCGTCCACTCACGTATGTTTGACTCGCTTCACGTCACTCGGGCCTCTGTACATGGGGTACTTTACACAGGGTGTACACCCCACACGCGGCTGTGTGGGGTGTGGCTATGTGGGGTGTGGCTGTGTGGGGTGTGGCCTAGAGGTCTCTCCCAGCACCTCCACTAATGATATCACACATGTGCTGGGTTACGCGCCAAGTCTGTGGACTAACCTCACTTACTCAGTATAACAACCTCTCTCATAACTCTGACGCCCCCTCTCATAACACTGACAGCTCTGGCGGGAAGACTTTTACATCACCACCGTCAGTGTGACTCCTGCTGTTTTTGACAGTTGGAGGTCACGGGGTCATGGCACTTCTTGCAGCGGAAGGTCATGCCCTCTGACCTCACTCCCAGGTACTTGATGAACAGTATGGAATATATTCATACAGTTGTTTGAGAGCCGAGTGCCCCCAGCTTGCTCACTCGTTAGCTTACACGGCTAACGAGTGTAGGCTAGCCGTGTAGGTCACACCTGTAGGTCACACCTGTGGGTCACACCTCCTCCCCCAAGCCCAAGGTGCGTTAAGAATATCACTGATGTTCGTTGTGAATCTGCAAGTTAATAGCTGTCATCCTGTATCAGTTCATCTCAAGACTCACTCTGGAAACACCTTTATTTGACCAGCCAAAACATTAGCAGTAACATGTCCAGTGTTATTGTTCATTTTTATCTTGGTCTATAGGACAAGATATGGATCAATAGGAGCTGCCTCATATGGACTAATAGGAGCTGCCTCGTATGGACCAATAGGAGCTGCCTCGTATGGACCAATAGGAGCTGCCTCGTATGGACCAATAGGAGCTGCCTCGTATGGACCAACAGGAGCTGCCTTGTATGGACCAATAGGAGCTACCTCCAGCTCACCTTAATACGCCTCCAACACCCTCCAATACTTGCCTAACCTTGTCCTGGAACGTTAACTGTCCCGTTGAGTTAACTGGTACGGCTGGGATGATGTAGTACTAATGGAGGGGGCCATTAGGCTCCTTGGGTAAGAATTTACCTTAGGCTACTAATACTAGGGTCCCTCAATAAGTACTCTCTTACTCACTAGTAAGAGTATGTAATATTGTCATCAAGTATCGGCATTCCAACCTTAGCGTTTTCCTACATGTAATAAATTGTAACCCAAAAATCACTGCAGCGTAAGGTCGAAAGTGTTTGTTAGTGGGATTGGTGGCGCATGTGTCAGTATTGCCCCGCGCCAGAGTGATCCTGGGCCGGCACGTATAAGGGTCGTGAACTCCAGCAACTGTCGCCGCTCTCATTTGTTTTGGTGTCTAGTGTGTGTGTAGTCTCGGGGGACTCCAATACCACTGAATGATACTTTGTCTTGTTGATTATATCGCCATAGATGAAGTGGCTGATTGGAACAGAGTTTTCTGTCTCAATAGAAGGCAAGCTTCATCACAAGCTTGGTCCACTAATGGAGTATTTCATCCATAATTTAATGCCAGCTGGGGTACCATCCATTAACCCAGCTTAAAATGGAGTACATCTTCACTATACACCATCTCATCACTGTAACACCACTATGCCAGACTCTACAGGGTCGCGAGGACGCTCCTCCAGTCACCACCACAACTACCGTCACCAACACTAACACTTTTTCAATTAAATTGTCAATAAAACACTCGACAGGAAATCTCCCACAATTTTGGAAAAGGGCAAACACAGTCCCATAATTTAAGAGGGACAAGCAAGAAACACTAAATTATAGCGCAGTGTCACAAGTCCTGAGGGTACAGTGCTGGAGAGAGTAGTCCTGTCGAGAATTATACAGGACCTGGAATGGATACACTTTTGACACAAAAGTAGCGTAGATTATCATGCTTAACAAATTTGATCCAGTTCTATAGCAAGATTACGAAAAGTCGCCAGGAAAATGAAGGGTGGGTTCTGTATATAGCTGTATCTGACACTGTTCCTCATGAAAGACTGATGTATAAGATGGAGAAGCAAGCTGGGATAGCACTCGAGACACTGAACTGGGTAAGAGAGTACCTAGAAGACATAAACAAAGGGTCACAGCCAAAAAGGCATCGAGCAGCAGGACTATGACAAGTGAGAGAAATTTCCACACCTAGTTCTATATAATTGAATTAATTTAATTATAAAATATATACAACAAATATATTTCTATTGTCGTGTATAATTATTAAACTTATTTGTAAACAAATTTATAGTTTAAGCGTGAAGAATTGCGATTTCTTCTTCCATGTATTTATGATGTTAGGCTACCACCACCCAAACATGAAATAACAGAGCGTAATTGTGTCTATATAAATATTTAATGTGTACAGTCCAAGGACTGTTTTCTTCAAAAAATATCATAATAAATTCAAGTTAAATTTATTTCAAAGAAAGTCAAATTTAATCACCACTTCTTCCTTCAATGTGATAAAATTTCTGGGCCGTCTATGAACGCTTCGTGACGAGGAAGGGCGAGTCAGCCATTATTCCTCCCGGCGAGACACACCAGGGGATCAGTGATGGAATTTGTTGGCATTAGCGAGTTTCCTGCGGTTACCACTGCCATACCACCTCGTCTACCAACGGGAATACCACTACTCCATACATATTAATCAAGCAGATTGGCCGCTCCGTTAGATAAGGCTAGGGAAGGAAGACAACTGCAGCCCCGCGAGGTGAGTGTGCCGACCTCTTGAAATTTACTCATTGACATTTGAATTTTGTTGTGTTGCAAACCTCGACAGTGTTTCAATTGTAATGTGTTTGGTCAGGCTTGAGATTCAAACTACGGGAAGTCAACGGGTGTGGTATTATCCAGCGAGAGCAGCTGAGTTTTTTTTTTGTTATTATTTTCTACCACAGACGTGGCCAGACATTTACAATGCTAACCAGCATATATACATTTTCTTCTGTCCTCCATGGACAGGGTGAGAGATTTGTTAAACTTATAGTTCAGGGATTTATTGAACAATCAACAACAGAAGGTGATTGTAGTGCTTTTAAAATGCTAGGCTATAGGTAAATACATAGATGCCCTACATAAAGTGTTCAATGTGTCTTTTACATAGTGTCATTAATGTGCATTTACAAAGGTGAAATGTAATTCTGATCAGCTTCCACATATACTCTGTCCCATGCCACGCCTCCGAGCCCCCGGCCTCGCCTACAGCTAAGCTCTTAATGTTTTATATATTAGAATTAATTAATCAAAGTTATGTCTCTTTAAGTAGATCATACCATTAACTATTTAGAAATGAATTAATACGTAGTAGCTTAACTAGCGACATGTTATCCATTCATATTGGTGGTGTTAATTTTTCGCAACGGTGGCTAATAAATATCACTGATACCTCCCAAGTTTGTTCTCGCCAAGTTTACTCCCACAAGTAAGTTCCCACAAGTGGAGTTCCCTACAAAGGGTGTTGGGACCACTGATGCAACCTGTCCTCCTACAAAGAACGTCGCTTTTCACTCGCATGCGTTACAAAAGGCCAAAAATTGTCGTACTACAAAATCGAAGCGGCTGGCTAAAGTGACGTACTGTCCCGTTTTCTGTTTTGGGTCCTCTGGTAGGTTAGGAGAGGACCCCGTTATATTGACCGCTTCTTGACGCTGGGAAACCTTAGGAGGACGGGCTGGCGAACGACCTACCTGAGGGAGTGAGCTCGACGTCAATATTTGTAGAAGAAACAAAACTGACGAGGAATGTGAAATCAGAGGAGTGCAAAAAATTACATCAAGACCTTGACAAACTTCGGGAAAGAGCAGACAAATTATTAAATCCCAACAAGAATGGGATTCTCACCCACCAGCAAGGTGGGGTGGGTGTGGCCACCATCAAGGTGGGTGGGTGTGGCCACCAGCAAGGTGGGTGGGTGTGGCCACCAGCAAGAGAAGCAGGGATGGCAGTACTCGTGGTACCACACACCAGGATTTTCAAGAGGTTCCCTACCGGGGTCCATGAACCCCAAGGGGTCTGCTGTTATCATTTACTTAAAACTGTTACCTAAAACGTAACAGGGGTGGGGGTAGGGGGGGTCCACAGGTGTGAACGTGGCTGTGGGGGGAAGGGGTGTCACAGGTGTGTGATGGAACCTCAGCTTTATCGTGACGTCTTAAGCTTTGTAAGCGCTAAGCTGCGTCAGTTTACGTAACTTTCCTCATTAACTTTCCATTAGGGTTCAGAGGTTATGTAAAGGAAATAGAATGAGCAGCGGGATGCGCAGACAGCATCCATTCCCACTCTAACTCTCAGCTCACCCCCAGCACCGACCCTCAGCTCTCCCCCAGCACCGACCCTCAGCTCTCCCCCAGCACCGACCCTCAGCTCTCCCCCAGCACCGACCCTCAGCTCTCCCCCAGCACCGACCCTCAGCTCTCCCCCAGCACCGACCCTCAGCTCTCCCCCAGCACCGACCCTCAGCTCTCCCCCAGCACCGACCCTCAGCTCTCCCCCAGCACCGACCCTCAGCTCTCCCCCAGCACCGACCCTCAGCTCTCCCCCAGCACCGACCCTCAGCTCTCCCCCAGCACCGACCCTCAGCTCTCCCCCAGCACCGACCCTCAGCTCTCCCCCAGCACCGACCCTCAGCTCTCCCCCAGCACCGAGCCCTCAGCTCACCCCCAGCACCGACCCTCAGCTCTCCCCCAGCACCGACCCTCAGCTCTCCCCCAGCACCGACCCTCAGCTCTCCCCCAGCACCGACCCTCAGCTCTCCCCCAGCACCGACCCTCAGCTCTCCCCCAGCACCGAGCCCTCAGCTCTCCCCCAGCACCGAGCCCTCAGCTCTCCCCCAGCACCGACCCTCAGCTCTCCCCCAGCACCGACCCTCAGCTCTCCCCCAGCACCGACCCTCAGCTCTCCCCAGCACCGACCCTCAGCTCTCCCCCAGCACCGACCCTCAGCTCTCCCCCAGCACCGACCCTCAGCTCTCCCCCAGCACCGACCCTCAGCTCTCCCCCAGCACCGACCCTCAGCTCTCCCCCAGCACCGACCCTCAGCTCTCCCCCAGCACCGACCCTCAGCTCTCCCCCAGCACCAACCCTCAGCTCTCCCCCAGCACCGACCCTCAGCTCTCCCCCAGCACCGACCCTCAGCTCTCCCCCAGCACCGACCCTCAGCTCTCCCCCAGCACCGACCCTCAGCTCTCCCCCAGCACCGACCCTCAGCTCTCCCCCAGCACCGACCCTCAGCTCTCCCCCAGCACCGACCCTCAGCTCTCCCCCAGCACCGAGCCCTCAGCTCTTCCCCAGCACCGACCCTCAGACAGGCTGTGATAAGTCCTGGAGCCAACTACACTATATTTTGTGACAGGAAACAATGAACTTTTGACCAGATTGTGTCATACTCAGGCCTGAGGGCACGGGGGGGGGGAGGTCCTCACTCAGCTGGGTGTGTGAGGGTTGAACTTTATCTCTTGGTTTCCGCCTGCCATTTAATTATTCTAGACTGCTACAAGGGTCATGCCTCGTACGGCAGCAATATCTACCTGAGATAGGTGTTGTATGCAAGACCCATTTTACTGTTTGATAAACAGAGGCTACAGTTAAGGATTGACGCCCAGTAAATCCTCCCCAGCCAGGATACGAACCTAGGACAAAGTGCTCCCGGAACGCCAAACGAAACGTCTTAACCACTACACCACGGGGACTGCATATGACAAAAGCCTTGTGACTGAACTTAGCTAGTAAAAGGCAGGCCAAAACCTTACAGCACTAAGGCACATTTCGCACCTTCTGGACAGCAGCGGCTGCAAAACCTTGTATAAAGCATAACGTGCCCCCTATCTGCAGCATGCACTACTCTCCTGGATGACCTGACCCCATGTTACACACCCAGCATCTGCACGAGGCAGAGAACCATAGAGGACTCATCTATGGTCGGGACCTATACTGACTAGACACAATTAGGATTCATCAAGCATTTAAGTGTCCACTGACGAAACCTGTACATCTTTTCTCGATCATGACAGCTTAGTCTGTATTAGACAGTCTATACAGACCTTGAACCCTCACAACCTAAGGTTGTGATTGTTATATATAAGGTCGTAGCACCTCAGAGCTCATGAACTGTTCGGTAAACCTAAAGAGTTAAATACGCTGCCATGACTGTGGAAAGATATACAGGTTTCGAAAGTGGACACTGAAATGCTTGATGCATCTTGGCCGTAATCAGGACATGAGGGCCCTTATTAACACAGGAGAGCTGTTGATGGTTATTACTGTTCATATTATATATATATATATATATATATATATATATATATATATATATATATATATATATATATATATATATATATATATATATATATATATATATATATATATATATATATATATATATATATATATATATATATATTAGCCAATAGTCTCCTGGTTCCCCAGCTGGCCCAGCCTCGTGGACAACCAGGAGTTGGCAACCACAACATAAGGCGCTCAGCCATCGGCAGCTTCATGCTTACTGTGGCATTACTCCATCAGCAGTCATTCATTACTATGTTTCTCTCTCTCTCTCTCTCTCTCTCTCTCTCTCTCTCTCTCTCTCTCTCTCTCTCTCTCTCTCTCTCTCTCTCTCTCTCTCTCTCTCTCTCTCTCTCTCTCTCTCGCATTTAGGAGGGAGAGAGTCAGAGAGAGAGAGAAAGAGAGAGAGAGGGGGGGAGGGGGCTGGGGCGGGATGCAGGAGTCCTCCACACACATCTCCACCAAAGACCTGTTTATCATGGTGGAAGACACAGAGAGAATACATTATTGTCTATGTTCAACACAGTGGAAAATTAACCCACCTGTTATGGAACCTTTTTCTTGAACCATTGAGATGGAGGAAGGCGAGAGGGGAGAAGGTGGGCACGAGGGAAACACTGAGGGAGGAAGGCTGGCGATGGAGCGTCTGGCGTACATTAAATCAACTCAAGAGGCAACCAGGAAATGCAGTGGTTCTAGAGACACCAGCTCTGCCCGGGCCGGGATGCTGGGGGGAGCCTGGCTACATGTCACTCAACACTGCTGTTGACACAGGCAGCCCTACACCTGCCACGGGCAGCCCTACACCTGCCACAGGCAGCCCTACACCTGCCACAGGCAGCCCTACACCTGCCACGGGCAGCCCTACACCTGCCACAGGCGTACTCACCTAGTTGTGCTTATGGGGGTTGAGTTTCTGCTCTGGTCCCGCCTCTCAACTGTCAATCAACTGGTGTACAGGTTCCTAAGTCTATTGGGCTCTATTATTACATCTAAAACTGTGTATGGAGTCTGCCTCCACCACATTTGTTGACTACCCTGACACTGAAAGTACCAAGTTTCCACCTGTGTCCCCTTGTTCAAGTTCCACCCGTGCTAAACAGTTTGTCTCTATCCACGCTGTCAATACCTCTGAGAAATTTGTAGGTGGTGATCATATCTCCCCTAACTTTTCTGTCTTCTAGGGACGTGGGGTTTAATTCCCGTAGCCTCCCCTCTTAACTCATACCTCTCAGCTCTGAGATTAGTCTGGTGGCATACTTCTGAATCTTCCCTAACTTTGTCTTGTGTTTGGCTAGGTATGGTCATATTCTAATTATAGGCTGGAGCTGCATACTTCAGGAATGGTCTGACTTATGTGGTATACAAGGTTCTGAATTATTCTTTACAAACGTATCTACAGGTAGTTCTTATGTTGGCCAGCCTGGTGTATGCCGCTGATGATATCTTCTTGATATGGGCTGGGGACAAGTTTGGTGTGATATCAACCCCCCATATCTTTCCCTCTACTTGACTCTTGAAGAAATTCACCTCCCAGATGGTATCTTGTGTTCAGCCTCCTGCTCTCTTCACCTAATTTCATTACTTTATACTTACTGGAGTTGAAATTTAATAACCACTTTGTGGACCATTCCTCCAATTTGTCCAGGTCATTTTGTAGTCTATTTCTATCTTCCTCTGTCATTATCCTTCTCATGATTTCTGCATCATCAGCAAACATTAAGAGGAACGAGTATCCATATATCAGAAACAGGATGGGTCCCAAGTACAGAGCCCTATGGGACTCGCTGGTGACATCTCGCCACTCTACTGTGAGATACTGTGATGTTTTCCCCCTCACAGTAATTTTGTTTCCTGTTGCTTAGCTACTCGCTTTTCTACTAGAGCACGCTCACCAGTTGATTAACAGATGAGAGGCGGGACCCGCAAGCACAACTAGGTGAATATCTTACCTGTTACTCTTGCCTGTTTCTCCAACTTTTGTAGCAGCCTCTTATGTGGTACTGTGTCAAAGGCTTTCTGACAGTCTAAGAAAATGCAGGCTGCCCACCTTTCTCTATCTTGCTTCATTTCTGTCGCCTGGTCATAGAAGTCTATTAAACCTAAGCCTAGTAGGTAGGCCTAGGGTGTTTGAAACATTACTGGTGAATGACACTTACCAGAAAAGTCGGGGATTATCTGGGCGCTCGCTAAGCCGTTTCTGTAGAGTGAAATAAGTCAGTCTGGCTCTGTTTTTGGGACGGTGTGTGTGTGTGTGTGTAGGGGGGGGGGGGGGATGGGTGTGTTGCAGTACGGCCCAGATCTCTGTGTTGTGTTCCGTTCAACTAAACTCCGGATGTGTAATGCCAGTATTGTTACTTAATGACTTTTTTTTAGTTGAGTTCATCATACGTGTTGAGAATGTGTCGCCTGGGAGGGTATTAGTGACGAGTGTGACGTGATTGACCCTATATGTAGCTACGAAGACCCCCAATATGTAGTTACATAGACCTGCGTGGGGAGGGGTATACAGCCACGGGCAGGGAGTGTTCATAGGGGTATACAGGGGTTTACAGTTTACACAGCCCACCCTCCTGTTTTGGTAGTACTTATAGTGAACAAATCCACAAGAGCCTTAGGTTCGAACCTAAGCGCCGGGTGTTCCCAGGCGCCCTCTAGTCGACCGTACCACGACATGGTAGCACCCAGCACATAGGTTCGAAGCCACATCAAACCTGTGGATTTGTTCATTGGTATAACACGTTAATGTGATTTTTTGTGTAGTACAAAAATCTTCGGGCGTGTTCAGGTCACTGCCCACCCCCCACCCTGCGGGCGTGTACAGTGACCTGGCGCCGTCATGGGGCCGGCTCCTGGGACACTCGCTCCCGCCTCTCACCCTCCCAGGTGATCCAGTACCACCACCTGCGTCACCACCACCTGCGTCCCCATCACCACCACCACCTGCGTCAACAACACCACTCCACCACCTGCGCCCCCCCCCCCACCACCACCACCACTACCAACGTCAGCACCAGCATCACCACCACTACCACTAAGCTCCTTAACAAACACCATTCTGGTACGGCGAGCCAATGAAGTAAATTCTCTTTAACACTGACTGTTGACTTAACCTTGAGGAGCGTGCGAAGCGCCCACACGGGCGGACCTGCGCCAGGCAGGTACCCACTTGCTCACAAATCACTGGTATTTTGTTAATGAAAAGAATATTGGGAGGAGAAATACTGTAGTGTTGGAGAGAAATATTTACAGGCCTCGCCGCCACCACTCACCAGAAACAACAACTACTGCCTGCAGAATATCCTGCAGCAACTTCAAGATCTCAGAAAATCGCGGAAAAATAGCATTTCAGCTTAAGACAAATAAGATCGAGTAAGACTTAGGGAAAGGAGAAAATGTTGTGCGTGAGAGAGGCGAGGAAGGCGGCGGCTCAGGGTGCGGGCGAGGCGATGACCACGGCCAACAATGGAACAAAGGCTAACCATCTCTGGCAGAAGCAAGGTGGCAGTCGCACACGAGAATTCCACAATGATGCACATGCGAGGTTGTTCTGTACACGCACATGCGTCTTCGTGCGCATGTGGAGGGACTTGTGTGTGAAGAGGAGCAGATGGAGTGTGAAAACGTGGAGGGAGGAGTGACCAAGCTCGTGCCGATTGACAAACACTGGAGGACACGCTCCCCGAGTGTGGTGTGAGTGCCAGCATACGTCAAGACGTGCCTCACTCTGATGGCTCAGTGTGTGTGTGTGTGTGTGTGTGTGTGTGTGTGTGTGTGTGTGTGTGTGTGTGTGTGTGTGTGTGCGCTGATGCTAGCACACACACTGCTCATACACAAGATGCGACCAGGAACTATGCTCTGGTAACCTGTGTGTTGGCGAATCGTAGGTGCTGGCTGATAGTGGACGGCTAGTCCAGGTCTGTGACGTTCATATCTGAAGACTTTGACCATTATACGAGCCTGCTTGTTCGAGTGGGTCTTCCAGAACTCGCCTACCTTGTATTTCCAGGAATTGAGTTTCAGTGCCTTGATTTCATCTTTTTAAACCTTCAATCGACTAGTGAA